TAGGTGTTCATGCTTTCTCGCAGCAACATTATCCAACCTGAATAATGTGTTCAAATAGTCAGATTATTATGTTCCTAAGAGGTGTTTTTAAGGGGATATGTTCACTTCTCATAAAGAGCAACACGTTGTTTTTGTGTTCATTTAGGTACTGGCAATCGCCTTCTCCGCGGCCGGCATCTACCTCATTGTGCAAGTGCAAAAGATACCCGATCTTGGTGATGAGGCAAAATGGGCTCCTGCAATCTTTCTAACCATTGGCATTTTCCTCGGAGTTGTCGCTACTTTCGGTTGTGCAGGCGCAGTGACGGGAAATAAGTGCCTTCTTATCATTGTAACGTGTCCCTTTCTGCTCTCATCATATCCCGTCTAGTTCGCCACAGTGACAATCGTCATGCTGGTGGCAACATTTGTCTTCGGTATAGCAATTTTGGTTGTTGGTTCGAAGGTAGGTTGAGGCAATTTGTATATCACCTCACTTTCCAAGATGGGCGACAAGTTGCTGGAGCTTCTGAGTAAGGCTTTCAAAAAGGGTGAGGATGCAGCACACACGTGGTTGGGTCCTATTGAGAAAACGGTATGATTTTGAAATTCAATCTAACCGCGTTCATCAGCTTAAATGCTGCGGAATCAACGACAAAGCCGATTACACTAGTGCTCTTCCAAGTACATGCTGTCTGGATGAACCTGATTCCTGTCTTGCAGCAGATGCTTACAGCGAAGTAAGGAAGACGTTGGATTATTTTATTCTGTTATTTTCACAAAATCAGCTACCTGTCAGAAGTTGGCCTTTTACAACGCCCTAGGCAATACCAATCAAAACATTTCAGAGGTGTATACAAGCATCTTTAAGATATGCACGTTAAAGTCGTTAAAAGAAAGGTTATATGAGGAAAAGCAGAGGTTTGTGAAGTTTTACACAGGGGACAGCAGATTTCGTCCTATGGACGAAAAAGGTTAAGGTTCGTTGTCTGTCTAAAGTGTATCAAGGATCAAGTTTACTTGAACCTTTGTGCAATTAAATCACTTGAATTTAAAAATTTAGGCATGCATGATTGGCTGTCAGGTATAGCAGTCGAGGTTCTAGGATGCATTCCATTTAAAAGATATATCTAAATCCTTTAAGGAATACCAAGTGCATGCAGCGATACTAAGGTTTTAATAGGAAATTGGAATGACCCAACAACTTTATGTGAAGGCTATAACTTGGAGTTAGTTAGGATTTGAACTTTAACGATCACTATTCCCTCAATACTAGCATAATTTTATGTGATCTTTTTCTTTATTAGGGCTGTGGCACGAAAGTCGTGAATAAGATGATGGAGTCCTCAAAGGCAATTGGCGCATGTTGCATCCTCCTTGCGATTGTTCAAGTCATTGCGGTCATTGGGGCGTACATGTTGATGTCAAAGTCAGCCTCCTATGAACAGGTCTAAAAACTCCCTTAAAGCAGCCGGCATCATGTTTTGTGTTTTTGTGTGTATTAATCGGAAATAAATTTACCATTTTCCCTGAGCTACCAATGACTTTTCAAAAATGAGGCTTGGCTTGGTAATGATTATTGCGCACTGATCAAGACGCGTAGGTTTCTTCTTCGTCCAACCTATATCGTGAACAAAACTGCTAAAAGCGTCTACTTTTGTCTCACTTGCCCGTGCAACAAATTTGACGTCGGCCTGCTGAAAATTGTATATGAGGAAAAACAATTCTACTGATAGCCGGTTTTAGTGCTGATATGAGTTATGAAGGAATTTGGCCAGCATCTCTGACTGCAAAATTGGGGTGGCATTCCTGGCAAACACAAAAAGTTAATAGGACACAATTTGGGCTATTGGGATAGAAATGCGTGTAGAAGACTGCCTCTTTGCGTGATCCACTACTGCGCGGCTGCTTCTAAACGCGTTCTATCGGCCACTTAGCCTATACGATCACTCCTTCCTTAGTAGCAGGTTTAAACAGTGCTTCATCCGAACTCGTAGAAAATTACGCGCCAGAAAACGTTCTAAAGTTGCGAAAATTCCCATCAGAGAATTCAGAAGAGTATTTGGCGA